CGCATCGAGCGATGGGCAATGTGCGGGCATTAGGCGCGCTGGACGATGAGCGCGGGGCGCACGGCAACAAACGTGAGGAACAAGGAAAGACCGGGGTGGCAAGCCTAATCCTTGTAGGATTAGGCAAGGTGCGAATACTAATCCCCGCAGGAATATGAAAAGCGGTTGAGTGCCAGAACGCGCGGGGGAGATCGGTGACGAGAGTAATCCTCGGAAGATCAGGAAACGTAACCGGGAGCATATTCCTAGTAGGAATAGGAATAGTGGATATGGGCTCGAAGCACAATCCTTCAAGGAATAGGAATGGCGTACGCATGGTGCAAGACCTTAAGCCTCGAGGCGAGAGGACATGCACGCATGGTAGGAGGCGCGCACGCGAGCGTTACCTCGTGCGACGAGGACTGGCGGGCGGCGCGCGCAAGAGGGCGGCTAGGTGGCGTGAAAGAGAGAGAGAGAGAGAGAGGAGGTTAGGAGTCTTCTACTTGGAGTGCAAGATAAGACTACTTGAAGTGCAAGCCAAGGCATTAGATCCCCTATCTATTTGGTTTCCTTATTGCATTAAAGATCTAGATTGTTTAGGTAACTTAATATTTTATTGCTTTATTAGTTCCCTAGGTAGAATAGACTTAGATCTAGTTTGTGCCTATATAAAGGCCATTCCTCTTGTTATTTTTTAATCATTGAATAATCCAAATATTAATAAGAACTCAAGAACTTTTTGTTCATTCTCTTTGCTTTAGTTTTTTCACCAAAATTCTATTGCAATTATATTCGTTGAAAAGGCTGCGAGTGTGCGACTTCCTAACATCTATCGAGCGATTTAAGGCGCGGGAGAGGCTTGTCGACAGTCTAGACACACGATCTTCATCACAGTGCCCAGCGCGCCCAGCAGCGGCCAGCCACCTCACAAAGCCATTTTCTTGAGTTTTGACCCATTTTTCTCCAAGTCCACGTTCATGCATGTATTAATAAGTGGATTAGGAGTTATTTAAGCCAAGTTTAGCTTTATAGATAATTAAGGCAAGATAATTAGCACTAGCACTAAGGAAGCATGTGCAAGGTGCATTATTTTATTCCAAGGTGTAAGAGCTTTTGTCCCTAGTGCCTTGGGACTTGTACAAGCACTCATTCCTGCCAAAGATGCTCTGATTATAGCCCAAAAGTTCGTGCAAGACCAGCCCTTGGTCCCATGCACATGTGGTGAGATGGAAGAAGCACTCACTTTGTCTCCCATGATCTCTCCTTGTGGAATCCGCCCCAAACTCCTTATAAAACTCATTGCTCAGCTTATTTTAGACCCTTAGACACTTAGAGTACTCAGTACATAGAGAGAAAACCGAGAAGAAGGTCCAGCCCTCCCCACATGTGCGCCTAGACCCGATAAAGAGGAGCACCGAGCCATCTCTTGTGCTAGCCGAGTTTTGCTGCACCAAGCCAAGTTCATATCATCTCTGGGAGTATAAGGAGCTTAGAGAAGCCACCATCTTCAGCTTAAAGGCCGCCGAGTCAAGCCACGGCCTATAACGACCCGAGGAGACACGAGTTAAGGGCTTGAGTCTAATTTTCGATTTCGGTGAAGGTTAGCTCATGCTATCTTTTTATCCTAGCTATAACATGATATTTTAAGATTTATCATGAAGAGAAATCAAGTTTTTCTCGGGTAGAATGAGAAAATCGGATTTTTGAAGCTTAAAGCCTTAAAATCGTACTTTTCGTTGCATGCATGTTTAGGCTGATTTCTTGTGCTTAAAAATCCTTATAAATCATGAGTAATATGGGGTTAAAACAGTTTCTTAAAATAAGTAAAGGTGCTCGGTCATCTAGAGCTCAATTGTTTTCGAGGAAATAAGCCTCCGAACCACATTGTTATGCATGTGTGATGAACCCTCGTTAAAATCGTGTTAGGGAGTGGACTATGGAAGACTTTTGAGTCTTTGGCCTCATGGTGAAGGCCTTAGACGTTTTTTGTTGATATTTGGTCATATATGTATTTTTGAATCGGGAGTTGCTGCTGATTTTTACAAAAATCATCATAAATCGTGTGTTCGTCTGATTGCTGTAAAATTTTAACTGTATGACCCTCTGATGATAATTTAAGTTGTGTAAGAATTTCAAATCAAAATAAGGTCTGTAGCTATGTTAATTGTCAATTTGAAAATCTGA